GTTGTTTTAAAAATAAATACAATTAATTGAACTAAAATATATAATTTCAAATAAAAAATATTTATCTCTTTTGGTTTCGGTCACTATTGTGCAATTTGGTAGTCATTAATGTACAATTATTTTAACACTATCGTGCACTCACGATGCATTTATCTTTTATGATCCGCACCTAGGCAAACTAAAATTGAACTGACATAATCGATTTTGTCTAAGATTTGTGGGTGACATAATCGAAATAATTTGTTATTTCTATTAAATTTATATTTAATATATTAATAACTTTATTTGTTATTTTTATATTATTGTTGGTTGAAATAATTTATGTTCGATCGTTTCGATATATATTGTGCAATATGATAGTCGTTATAAAGTGCATCGTTTTATATTGTAAAGTGCAATATATTATGTTACAAAGTGCAACGTGTTGATGTAAAAGATGAACTGCTGTAATTTTGATACGTTACCACGCTTGTGTTTTGTGTGGATAAATGATGTGATTGATGTTAAAATATTATGTATATCATTTTTTTAGATTTATGTTGTATGGTATTTTTGGCGGGAGCTGTTTGACGTTAATTGTGGAGTGTGTTGATAAAGTGCAACATGGTGTTTTACAAAGTGCAACATCTTTTTTTATAAAGTGCAATGTGCTGATACATAAAGTGCATTAATTAAAAAAAAAAATCAATGAAACCTTAAATCCCTAATTTTAATTTATTATTGAAATAATTTATTATTTAATTATAAAAATATATTTAATATTTTAATATCTTTATTTGATATTTTATGTTATTCAGTAGCTAAAATACATAATATATACCATACATAATTAACAAATACTAATTGAATTCTTATGACATTACATAGCAAAAAAATAAATTTAATGGTTAGTTGGGACTTGGGCGTCAGTCCTACGGTGCTTTGTGAACAAAAGATAAAGGTTTCTCTATTAGATATTATTGTCAAACTTTTAAAAAATTACAGATTTTACCCAATGCTTAAATTGTAATATCTTTAAACTGTTAAATTGCAACTAAGTCCCTGTGCCTTATCTAATTTCCAATTAGAAGCCCCCAAGCCCCAACCCCAAATTCACATTCATGTGTTTTCCCTCCAGAATTATACTCGCCGGTCTGATGAACGGAGATACGCGGCGGCGAGGGCTTCTGGACGGCAGCGGCGGCGGATTTAGACATCGCCGGAATTGGTTGT